GCTCGTCTGTGGGGGCATGAATATCTGGAATGGTTTCGTCCACAAGACTCGCATTTCCCAAATTTTTGAGCCATCGGATTAGGATTACGATCTATGAAGTGACGTGTTGATGGATTTGGGGCACGAGAATCTGTTCGAGGTTTGAATTTGTTGTTCATCCGCATCCTTGAATTCTTTTAGAAGTCTGCTTCCTCAGTCTTCGTCACATGCTTCACATCTTCATACTGTTCACATATTTGCCGAATAGTTTGAAATTTCTGATCCGGACAGAGTAGCAGCTTCTGCTGTAATTCGGGTAGCTGAATGCCAGCAATGAGTCTATCACGCAGCTGGTCTTCTAACTGGGCACCGTAGTCACATTTGGCCGCCTGTGTTTGCAGCTGTAACACAAAATCACGAACCGACTGAGAATGAGAGCGGGTCAACATATTGAACCTAGCTCTTTCAGCTGCTACGAAGTTAATCGGTTTGAAGTGTTGAAGAACTTTTTTCTTCAAAGCAGTGTAAGAAATATCGATTGGAGATTCAGGATATACTAGATTCTTGATCAAAGTATACGCCTCCTTGCCAACGAAACGTAGGAAATATGCAGTGAGTTTCTTATCATCTATATCGGATTTTGTGAGGCACCATATATCGAACCGTTCGAACGCGTCTCGCGATGCTTGATCCGAAAAGTATTGACACTGATGCTTCACTGCCGTACAGCCATCCAAAACCATCCATGCTTCTGGGGCATCTGTGGTCGAAAACCGCAAGATGTCTCACATCATCTGTCCTCGGAGGCCATGTCTCCCATCCATATAACATCACCGTCCTCGCTGTAGCCTGGTTCACACTACCCTAAAGATCTAGTGATATGCGTTTTTTACACCACAAGTGACGCAAATTAGCAAACGTGATTCGAGCCTTTGAGATTCTTGCACTGACTTCATCAGACACACTTCCGTCAGAGCTAATACAACTACCGAGGTATGTAAGGTTTTCCACAATCTTCAGTAATTCTCCTTGAATTGTAAAGGATGTGTTGGCAGATGGCACGTTCTGAAGCATGACTTTACCCTTTGAAAGTGCAAATCGCATGCCAAGAGGTGGAATGATGGTGGTCAGTTTATTCAACAGGACTTGTGTTTCGATTTGGTCTTCAAAGAAGAGGGCAATATCATCTGCGTACTCCGGATCGACAAGGCTCTCACCAGCAGCAATTTGAACAGCAGGGTTTTGAAGACCATCCAGAGTTCGTTTCATTATTTTATCAATGTCGAAGTTGAACAAGAATGGAGAGAGTGGACATCCTTGTCTGACACCACTTTTTGTAGGGAAGCTTTTGGAGATCTCACTATACACTCTCACCCGGCCAGAAGTATGTGAATATAGGGATCGGATTATGTTTACAAACTTTTGGGGCATATCCTGTTGAGCAAGTGTAGGTAACAGAACTGATCGGTCGACAGAATCGAACGCACCCTTGAAGTCAAGGAATACTAAGATTGTGGGTCGTCTGTACATGTGGCGTTGCTCTAACACCAGACGGAGTGTCTGGTGTTGGTCAACGCAGCCTCTACCCGGCCGAAATCCCGCTTGATTCTCACGAGTCAAGGCTTCGCGTGCCACCGTAAGATGACGAAGAATCAGCGATGCCAGAAGCCTTGTCACAACAGGCGTCAAACTAACACCCCTGTGGTTGCTACGTTCACTTCGAGTACCCATTTTGAAAATGGGCACTACTATCGATTCACCCCAGTTGTCTGGCTAACTGCTTTCAATACCCGCACTTGCAGGGAGGATCGCTATCGTTATCGGCACAACCGTGACATTTACAAATACCAATAGCGGCCCTCCCTGCGAGTGAGGATATTGAAAGCAACCAGGTAGATTGGGCATCGAGGCTTGAAGATTGATTTCGAGATGCCGGATGCGAATGACGCCGATGCAGGACAAACAGAGTGAACTGATGAAACTTCCCGCCCGTCGTAGGTTTGACTGATGTATGGTCAGTGGGTAACGCTTAAGAGGAAGAATGACATTCCTTGTGTTGATTGCTGATAAAAGAACTGGTCCTGTTTGTTGAGCACAAGTCCTGGAGGAGTATCACATTTGAGTTTCACCTTTGGATTCGTTTACATTAAAATGGTCTCCTTGTTTCCTCTAGGCTATAAATAAGTGGTACATCCGGTATTGATGTGGGTTTTAGACACGGTTCTTTCCTACGACAACTTCTAACAGCAGCTCGTTGGAAATAACTGACATGCTTATTGAAGTTTGATTAGAGGGTTCACAGGGAAATGTCATCTGAATGGCTTGGTATATTGGAACACCACAGGCTTCCGGTGGATTTTGCCATACTTTTGGCCGATTGCTACAAAATACATTCTTGACGATAGATACTACTTAATTTCTGGACAAGTCCGTGTTTATGTTCCCGATACGGAACTTCGAGTGACAATCCCGAATATCAAAGGAAGAATTGGTTCGAAATTCTACGGTTCTATTCATACAAGGCAACCTCAATTGTTGACGTTCGTGGCGTCAACAAGTTCACTTTCACTGACCCGCTCAGTGCAGTGTCAACGTCCGCACGCCAAGCAACGTCGGGCGGAATGATGGCTCAATAGTGTGGGTTGCGATCATCCTTTCCGGTGACATTCTCGTGATTTTCATTGGCCGTGCGATCACACGGAACTCATCGGAAAACAATCCAAAGCCAGCAATTGGGATACGAACACGCATAGGCGAATAGGTCAGTTGCGCAAATTCACACACAGATACACATTGCATTACACAAGTGTCGGACGGTATGCCTCTGCGGCAAGGTGCCTAGCTGCCATGCCACAGAAAGGAAGCACGAGGGCTGGGATACTGCCAGGTTGCCCAAGCCTGCACAGGGGAAGTCAAGAGGCAGAAGTCAGATTCGAACCACGGACTTTGCAGTCAGTAAATTCACGCTCTAACCACTGAGCCTTTTATGCTATGTCCCTGCGGACGATATAAAAACTGTGGAAAATTCTTTAAAACTGTTAGTTCGGGGTTCATGTTTGAATCCACAGAGAAAGAGAGAAAGCCAATAAGGCTTATCGAGAAATACTTAAAAGAACGTGAAAATGGTTGTTGATAATGAGAAAATGATAATCATCCAGCTAATAGTTTTCAGTGCATAACTGTCATGCCAACCGGAGGAAACACAAGAGATGAGATAGTACCATGTTGCTCAAGCCTAAACAAGAGCAGTCAAGATGCAAAGATAGGTTCAAACCACGGACCTTTCGGTCAGCAAGTTCGCGCCTTGGAGCTATCTTGAAGTCAGCTTACCCTCCGCTTTTCAGTGAGTAAAGATAGGTTCCACGGACCTTTCGGTCAGCAAGTTCGCGCCTTGGAGCTATCTTGAAGTCAGCTTACCCTCCGCTTTTCAGTGAGTAACCAACTGATTGATGCCTTCAAGCGAATGCCGTCCTTCTTGTGCGTTTCACCATGGCACTATATAGTGGAATTGAACCCTCTGGATCCCAAGGTTCTTACGCTGGTCATCAGACATCTCACACTCTTGGTAATGTGTCGAAATTTTGGTAGCTCGGGTGGGTTTATTGATTGTTGATCAGATGGCTGTTGATCTGTCCGCCGAGCTTGGCAATCGACTGGCAAACGTTTCGTCACCATACGAGATTATGGTACCTTCAACAGAACTGGCAATAATCACTTCGTACACAGTGAGTGGTGCTCCAAAATTGACATCCCATGGTGCTTTAGAAACTGTAAATGAAGTTCTTCCGGGCCAGGATCTTTCTAAACCCTCAAGGCGGATAGAGTATTCTACGGCTCTTCGTGAAATCCGCATTGTATAAAGTTTTATCATTCATACACTGTATAGAAACTTGAGGCTCCTACTGAAAGATGAAGATTGATGTGTGTTTCACCAGCAATGCTTGAGCTTCTCCTTCCACAAGTGCAACTTGAACAGCTCCAAATAGTTGTGGAATTTCGTCTCATTTTTTAGTTTGACGTCTTAGGTGTGCGTGCAACTTTTTTAACCGTCGTGGACGACTCTGCTAACTTTACGTATAGCTGATGTTCGTTTATTTTCTTCGCGCCAAGGTTTCTGCATTGTCTATATCTAGTATGATTGTTTTAAATCAATCCGTTAAACCTTACTTGTTCTGAGAAGCGCGTGAACGTGACTAGCTACCCAGAGCGGAGCGTTCCACGGATCTCATCGCTTTTTTCAAAGATGTAAGGTCATCAGTAAGTCCACATAGTTTCGAGGTCTTCCTTGAGAAACAGTTCTCGATCAGTCTGTATTTCTGTTTGTCATTCACTTAAAATCTGTCAGCCACACATTCCGACGCGTCCTAAAGTGTCGATGAAATTTGCACGACTTTTTTCACTTGGACTCAAGTGGTCCCTTCGTCTTAGAGGTTCGGTCTATGTTGGTCATTCTTATCGTTTCTAGAAAGCGGGTGAACATATTTGGAATAAGTTTACATGGGGTATTCGCTGCTTCTTGAACACGCTAAGTTGAACTACAGGAAATGGATCCATCGAATAGCTTGTAATCGAAGCTGTTCACCTACTCGGTACTTAGACGATGCTACCAGTCGACCGTAGACGCTTCAAAATCCCCCAGTATGTGACAGTTCGAATGTGCCACTTTTCCATGGAACTCGTACTCCTGTACGCCAAATTTAATAAGAAGGACCCTTCGACGGCAGGGATATCTTTTCATCCCATCACTCTTTCTACCACCCATTCGGACGGGGTGAAGGCAGTTGGGTGATACATGTAGGCATCACTTGCCTTTCTCACAACCCGCCCTTTGTCGAACGTTTCTCTCTCCCTCCAGACTCACTTGCAGATCCAGTGGCGTTTGGGGACTTTGTGAGTAACATGGTGTCTGGTTTCCGCTGTGTGGCTGATATTCTCACTCCACCCATTTGGGTGCCTATACTTCTTACGCTTCAAACGTACTTTTCAGTTTGAGAACTAGAGGGACTGGTTTCCACTTGAAAATCCACGATATATGTTGACCGCTATTTTCAGCTTATGTCTTAGTTTTCATTGTCAAGAAAGCCTGGTTCTTCCTGCTGGCTGAAATGTGGAAAGTAACGTGGTCGTACTCAAAACCAACACGTTCGCTAGAAGATATGTTCTATGGCCTCCAGTCTCTACAAAGCCACCTTCAATAGGCGCAGGTTTTAAACCGTATTGCCTTTTTCGATTCATCAGATAATTTTGCGGCACACTTTTATAGGAACTGGTGATCCTCTTCCACTTATCGAGCCGCGTTTTCTGACGTTCTTCGGTAGTCTTTGCTATCATAAAACATTATGCTCTTGGGTATTCCCCATCATAGCAGGGGCTAAGTGCTCTTAACCAGTTACACGCATCTGCTCTCAGTCCCTTCATTTCAAATGAGCGTAGGGTTTTGACAAAATGTTTATCCATTTTGTCATCTGACTACTTAGACTGAATGTCTTCATTTGTATTTATCCTTCGGTAAGTCATTCTTTTGATTGTTCTGGTTTATAAAGTCGGGATTCTTTTTCAGCGCTGATACTTGGCACTCTGATGATTGATTTACTTACAAAAAAACCATTATTTTCACATTTTTAGCCTAATATTTTCTATTTCCCAACCATGACGTTTCTTGAACTCAAGTGCAAGCTTGCTAATTACGTGGATGTGACATTCCGAGGACCTACTGACAGGCTAGCTGCACAAGCCCTACTTCGACACATATTCCCAAAGACAGATTGCTGCGTTGTCGATATGAAGGTGAGTTCCGCGTGACGGTGATGTAGAAATCTTCTGTGTCAGGTTTTAGATGATGGTCTTTCTAATCAACTGGTCCTACTCACCTGCGACAAACAACTTTCGGGACATTCGTGTGCCCGCAAATCGTTGCTCGTACGCATTTACGGCTTAGTGACCAACAGTTTGATTGACAGGACTATGGAATTGTTGTGTATGACAGCGTTTCATGCACACGGAGGGATGCCAAAAGTTTATGCGGTTTTCAATAATGGTATTGCCTATTCTTTCATCCCCGGGCGAACTCTTCCACCGACTGACCTTGGATCTCCCAAATACTGGAGGTGAGTGTGCATCTTGCTTTTTTGGCAAGCGATATTATCTATCCGTGATTTCCTTATCGAGGCTTTACCCTCGTTTTGGACGCACCAACAGCTTAGACGTCTTAGATTATGGCCAACCATGCTTGGTGAGCTTTGTTTGCTTTCGGTTTTAAATGAACCTTATTCTGTTGACAATACGAAGCAGTCTAGCCGGAATCCCTCTGTTCGGCTCATCTACTCTCTCTGAACATGGTTTCAAGGTAGTATCCGATTCCTTCGTACGTTTCGGCTGAGGGACCAGTCACTTGTATTGCTCTGCAGGTAACTGTCATTGACACCACCCTATAAGAACGCTGATGAAACATTGACAAACTATCAGTTTGACGTTCGGCGGATACCCAAAGGCTCGATAGACTTTGCATAGGAAACGCGTTTGTGCTTTATATGCTCTGGTCCCTGGTTTAAACTGACGCCATACTTGATGTTTTGAAAATACAGTGACTAAACTGTTCAGGATTGAGCTTCCTCGAATTCCTCAGTGATATTAGAACTGTTCTTTCATAATTTTACGGCCATCCGTCCCATGACCATTGAACACTATGATTTCTTGCAATCTGAAAGTTCATCTCCTGAAAGATTTTACCTCAGTTTTGTTTGATTGTGCATTCTTGAATGTCGATGGGGACGGATTTCATTGACCGAGGTAAATCACCGTTAAAACTATCAGGGTTGTCTTACAGTTCATATGGTTTTCTGGCTCCTTGTTATCTAGGCCTTCCGTTCTTTGAATATTACCTGAATGCGATATTACAGTGCCAGTGGTTCGGCGTAACAGTGGAGCGCTGTCTCCTGTCTGCGAAGACCAGGAGAACTTGAACGCTACGTGATTTTAATGACACAGGTAAATGCGTTCGTTAGGACGGAGTCCTGGTAGTCTGCATACTGCAATGATGTGATTGAGTGAACTTATATTTGGATCAGATTAGCAAGGCTACAGCTTGGTAAAGTTCATCGTATTACGACAAATTATGTTGCTGCTGGCTGCCATTTAACCCGTGGGAAACTTGAGAACTCAGCCTATTCCAAAGTGCCAAGGTCCCAGATAGGATGAGGTTGGGAGGATGGATGTGAGATTGTCGAATCCGTACCAAATAAAGGTCTCTTCTAAACGGACCACTGTCCGAATCCCACGAAATCCATCGATGAATTCATGAACTCTGCACTACTTTTTCAAACGTTGGCAATTTCCACCCTACCTCAATCATGGACCTCTTCTTTCCACTTCAGAAATCGGGACATTTGGGCACTTTCGACATGTTCATTCATTTATGTTTAGCTGTGGTGCGCGAGAATCTCTAAAGTAAAGTACAGTATAAACCACGAACAAACACAAGAAGTTTATTTTGAAATTAAATGTTTGAGTTCAGAGCCGTTCGTCTATTACATGAAACCAGGAATTTAGTCGGTCGATTGAAGTCTCTTCGTGAGCTTTTTCGTGTTTTTATTTTGCGCTCTGAAGTCAGTTGGGTCCAGGGTTTTGCCGTGGATGTCCTTTCTTTGCCTTCGTTTATCTACCAATTTCCAATGTCTTGGGTTAAGAATTACGCGTCTTTTTGCTTACTTATCAGAGTACGGTAATGAGGAGAGAAACCAAGTGATGAATTTTTGTGTATCGGTGGGAAGAACATTAACGAACGCCATGCGCTCCACTTGTTACCGCAATTATCTTTTCTTGTTTCCAGTAGCCCCACTTGCCGTGTTGTACCCTCGGGGTGGGTCAGCCACCCAGAACATGGTGGGTGACTTACCTACTCTACTGTGTGACACTTTATCCAAAAGCCTTAACGTGGTAAGGCATCACTGAAGAATCGTCAGATGAGCGCTTCCAGGAATACGTAATGAAATACAATGTTTGCAAATATGTTTCAAAGGTCACCAGTTGGGACCAGGTCGCTGTTATATCTGCTGCTGACCCGCTCCAGTGCCTAATGCCGGAGAAAAAAGACTCACAGAAGGGAACACAACCGCTATATTCCGAACAAGCGAGCGCGAGAGCGTGAGTTACAACGGCCCCACGCTATTGATCCCACGACATTGATCCAGGCTGTCTGATAGGCGTTAGTGCACACCCGTCAACATCGATCGTGCCTCTATGAAATGCCTGAACGCTGATCACATTCGGTCGTGCTTCTGTGGCGTGCATGAGGACTCATTTGCTTTTGCTGAATTGATTGAATGATTGACTATCCTGGATGCTTGCCGGCTTTCATGTTGAGTTTTTGGTGGAGCAGTAGGTTCCGGGCGTTCTGAGGTTGCTTCCAGGAATCCGATCTTTCTGATAGTCGCTTGTTCACATGTGAGTAGAGAATTAGAATCAAACTGGATCAGATTGATAGCATTTCCAAGGTTTCACACTTAGAATGTGGCGGCGAAGTATGTAACAGTCTACAAAAACTGCAAATGAGCAACACCATATCATGGGTAAGTCAAAGGAAGAATACGGTCAGGAAAGCACAGTCATCCATCTGATGAACAACTCAACCGCCGAATTTTCAAAAGTGCTTCTCCTACTTGATGATGACCAGGATAGGTCAGAGATTATACTGATGTACAAGGAGGTTTCGGGAATTCAATCAAGATTTTGTCCTGTCGAAAATTCGAGACGCACCGTACAACTGTTTTCGAAAATAATTGCTAAGAGCGTCTTACGAATCGCTTGAACGATTCGAATCTGTGAGCCTCCGACCAGCAGTTGAGTTGTTTAGTTGAGCCTGTCTGAATGCGAGTTGATCACATTGCTGACCAGCCGCTCCTGGTCAAGAAGTCGCCGTGCCGATGCCCCCTGGGGATTCGTTAGACGCGCACTACCTGTGGTTTCCAGTGTGTGTCCAGTGTGTCTTGGCTTCACTTGAAGGACGATCTGGATCAGATGACAGCTTAATTTCTAGGTATCTAGCGCATTTTACTTGTGCTCGGAGACAACCGTGTTAGCCACCCAGATGTTGACCACATGCAAGCATAAGTATTAACTCATTGTACTTGGTTGGATTCGCATTGGTAGAAATGCCCTCTGACCAGGTGCAAGTGACCTTGGTATTATGTTGAAGCGGGCGAAAATCGGTAGCCACATAGCGGTCCATGCCAAGAGCTATGCTTCAATCACTGAGATGTGAAGAGTCCATGTAAAAGGTGAATACAAAATGGACGGGTCTCTGATGCACGCCACATCCATTTGCAGTTGCGGTTAGTATTTTGCCACTATTCTGTGATCGGTTCGGGTAGCTCCATGACTGCATTAGCCATGGTTGTGCTATAGCAGACGAGGTCATCAAGGCGTGTACACGGATGTGAGATGGCTCAGTGGTTAGAGCACGAATTTACTGACCGGAAGGTCCGTGGTTCGAGTCTGAACCCTGCATTTCAACTTGTCTAGGCTTCGGCAACCTGACAGTATCCCAGCTCTCGTGCTTCCTTCGAGTGGCAGGGTAGCTAGATACCTAAAGAACAATAAATAACAATCGTTCAGCTGTAGTACCCTTCCGGTGCCTAGCTGCCATGCCACCCGAAGGTTGAACGAACGATGAGTTACCGCCAGGTTGCCCAAGCCTAGACTGGGGAAGTCGAGAGGCAGAGGTCGGGTTCGAACCACGGACTTTCCGGTCAGTAAATTGGCCATCTCGCCGAAAGGGTGTTACGGTTGAACGATTCCCTTTTTTACACCGCAACTGTAAGAGCGGTAGTTGCCGAACTTTGCTTCTTCCGTGTGGTGGTATTTAAAATTCGGTTGTCTGTGTCTCTTTAGCATAGCAAAAGTAATCTGGGTGCAATGAACTGATGTTCAATCGGGTCCTTGTGGACAGTCTAGAATCGCCAGGGTGGCGGTGAAACTTATCAGGTCTCTTGAACCACTGTCTCTTCTCATATCTTTGTTGAAAGATTTGTGGAGGACGTGGCGAAAGGGAATAAAAGTAACTACAGTAAGACGGTGATGTGGGGCCTCCTCATCTTCCTAACTACGGCCCAATCGATCCTCTTTTCACTCGGCTGGAAGCCTTGCAAGACATGACACCTAATTCAGCGGTGTTGCACATGCCATCACTTTTTAGCTTAACTTGCTGTGCGCGGCGCTTGTGTTGGCTGAGGTCCAGTGTTAACTTCGAATGACGGTGCCTCACTCCTACTCAAATGTGTTTTTCTCACTGTTGCTTAAAGGTTTGTGCACCTTATTCTTGATCGATTTTCTCCCGGGACACAGAACTTTTGCATCACATTCCTACACTTCCCTTCCCTTTGCCAAGGCTTTCTTCCCTCATTTTTGTATGGCGGTTAGACGCGAGTAAGTCTCACAGGTGCATTACTGTTATTGGTGACGTTGGCGACGCTGAGTGAACTAAGAGTGACAGAATAAGTCCATGCGTATCCTTCCAAATAAGCTTCTGGACAGAATAGCTCAGTCAAATGCACGAAGAACACTGCCACATTCTATGAACCGAATGCAAGCGTCTGTTCAGCGTCCAGAACTGTCGTAAACTGATGCTTCGGGCGGGCGGTCGCATCAGTGTCCTGAGTTCTAAGCAGACTGATATACTCATAGGGGCGCTCAGTGAGGGTCACGTGATACTAAGCACCATCTCGTTTAGCGCGACGTTGGATAGAATCACGAGAATTAGAGGACTGTCGTGGGTGTAATCCTGGGTGGGGGTCTGCACTCGTTGACAGTTAGAAATGCCGGCTGGAAAGAGAAAATTCTGTGGCACAACATTCACTGGTTTTATTTTCCGAGTACTTTCTCGGTTCGTTTTACACACAACTGACCGGATATCTAAGCTACAAGCAGCATTGATCCTAATAGGAAACGGGTGGTTTCACTCATCGATATCCCCAGTGAAAGTTTCTTCCTGTGTTTTATTGTTCCATGAAGTTTTGATCGTCTTCCAACTGTTTGTACCTTTTGACTGCAACAGGAAACCCACATAAACGGCGTTTTATCTGGAAATTTCGTTCCTAAGAGGAACAGAACA